TTTTTTTTTTTCATGTTCTTCTTCTTTCTTTTCATTGTTGGAAATTATTTCAGTTTGGTAAGCTCATTAATAACATTCAATTTTTTCTGCAACAAGAAAAGTTTGAAAAAGAGAAAAAGCAGATATTTTTTGCTTTTTTTTTTTGTTTATAAACAACTAAATATTTCTATTCATTCAAGTTACTTTTTGTTTCGTAACAAAGTAACAGAATTTCATTAAAAAAGTGTTTTTGTCAGAATCTTTTTCTTCTCTTTTTACTGTCACGACCTAGTTATGCTCTAATTGATTCCAATTGTAGAAAGTCAAATTCATTTGTCTGTATGTATTCTCGTGACTTGAATTACATAAACCACAAAAACACACACAACTTGCTAATTCATTTGTATGTTGATCATAAATTTCAAGCACTGCTAAACTGTACTTATGATGATAAAAAAAAGAAGAAGAAAAAGGAAAAAAACAGCAGCTTTTTCCTGTTTTTTTTTTGACTACCAATTTTGGTAAAGCAGTAACAGCAATAATTGGAGTAACGAAACCAATTATACTAATTTCATGTTTCCTTTCTTATTCTGTTTTTCTTTTTTTTTTCAGTGATTTACATCGTTTACTCCGTCTTTGTGGCTAAAATTGTCTTTTTTTTGTTTTCTTTGGCGCAGCACTAAATTCTGATAAAAATGCAGCTGAATGAATCTGAATCCTGTGAAAGAGTGTACATAAAAGTTTAAATATATTGTCCTATCCAATCGATTACTTTGATTTACTGATAATAAAGTTTATTGTAAAACTTTCTTATTCTCTAATCTATCAGACAGTCTGTCAGTTTAATCTCTTGACTTTCATAAAACACTAAACTTTTCAACGTATTTTTTTTTTTTCTGATTACAGTCAACTAACGACAAAAATTGTTGCAGGAGAAACGATTTTTTGAAAAAGAAAAAAGCATTAGCGTTATACACATAAAATTTAATGAAGAAACATAAATTTGAAATGGCAACAAAAAAGATTGGCATTTTCCAGCTAAATGAAGCAATGTTAAGAAGAAATTACGAATTCTGAAAACAGACTGCAACAAAAGAGCCAATCGAAAAAACTATATAAAAAATATTTTTTTCTTATTATAATTTAAATGATTTAAAAATTATAACTTTAAGAG